AACAGCCTGAACTAGAAGGAAACTGCCCAGTGGGGTTTATTTGACCTCTCATAGCCCAGCTATGTCCTGATTTTAGTGACTTGGAACAGAATGACTCAGAATGAAATGTGCTAAGTGGCACCCCAGATTTCAGGAAACATGGAGCCTCACAGACTGGCCAATCCACTGCAAGACACCTCCCAATAGCAACCAAATACTCTCCTCCCGCAGTGGATTCCTCAGAGCCACCCTGCTGACACAGACCTCAGACATGACCAGACTTAGGGGTACTGCCCTTTTTGGCATCATCCTGCAGTTCTAAGAAGCCCCAAAGAAGCCGCTGAGGACTCCTAGATCTGCTCAACTTTTTCATATGATCATGGTGGTTAAATTCTCTCCCCATTTTTCACCATTACTCATTTCTGTTTGATATTTGCGGTGAGCAGATGGACTTGATTGGATGGAATTTCCTAAATTCATGCTCTGCTTGGCCTCAGACTTCTCACCCACCAGTGGGTTCATATCTGAGAACCACATATTCAAAACCATTTGAACAAGAAAAGAGAATTATTCGTTTGCTCTAAGTTTTATCAGCTGACATGAGAGCCTTCTTCAGGAAACAAAGATCCTAAGAACAGGGATATCTATGTATCTTTAAAAATCAGTTATGAGCAGGACACACACAGACATGGACTCCTTAAATAACAAGGTGCTGAAGCTGTTTTGCTGGAAGCCCCTGGAGTCACTGAAGGACAGTCTGTTTTCAAGAATGGACCTGAGCAGAAGATGCTGGCCTGGTCAGCTCCCACAGTGACATTTGGCTGTCACAATCTCCAGATCCCCAAGTTAGAACACAGAAAATGAAAACCCTCACCGAAGAACACCAAGCCATGCAGAGGTGTGATGCCTATACCTACACCCACAGAACCCTAAGATGACTCCTCCTCCAGCTGGGCCACAAGCAGCTTCCCTGCTCCTCCCTTCAGCCAATGGGGAAGAAAGATCCCAGTGAGACATTTGGCTGTAATAATCTCCAGATCCCCAGGGCAGAACACAGAAGATGAAAACATTCACCAAAGAATACCACGCCACACAGAGGTCTGACGCCTATAACTACGCTCACAGAGAACCCTAAGATGACTCCTTCTCCCAGCTGGGCCACAAGCACCTTCCCTGCTCCTCCCTTCAACCAATGGGGAAGACAGATCCCAGCGAGACCTCTGTCCCTTAATGGCAGCCTCAGGGAAGCTATCTATCCTGAAAATTCACCAGTCCTTCAATACTGTAGCTGTGTGTGGTGGGAAGTAAGGGCTTGCAGGAGGAACTGGGCGACAGTGGTGCAGTTTAATGGTGATGACCTGGGGACAGGTGCTTGGCAGGCCTTAGTGTCTCTGTCCCTTGGGAAAGGAGGTCCCTTCCTCTACACACAGGAGAGATCCCTTTAGAATGAGTTTCATGGCCTCCTGTAGAGGAAGATCAGAAGGTCCTTTCACAGCCTGCTCCATGCAAGAAGGACCAGAGGTGAATGAGACCCAGGGCTTCTGCTTGTCTCTTAAACCTCTGTAAGTTTCAAGGCCATATTTTGAGGCAATGAGTTCTGAACCCCATCAGGGTAAACCACTCCTGGGAAGTTTACTAGAACCTCACTTGTGGGGAGGGTGTCATTATGAGCAAGCTGGCACAGTGAAACCTAGCCAGAGCTATGGAAAGTCAGTATCACCCAAATGGCACAGCAGTCACTGCTGTCTTCTCACCCTTCGTGCTCAGTCTGACCTAAGAGAGGGAGGCCAGGAAAGCTGGCCTACTCCATCTCTGCTCCTTTCTATCAGTCACAGCAAACAGAAATCCATTCAAAATAGTATCACTAAGGAGCAATCCTACAAGAAGATTTAGTATAATCAAGTGTCATAAAAACTTAAATCAAAGACCTGCAAAGAAATCAGAGGGAAATATTAGCCTCTCTCTCTCTCTGTTGCTCTCTCTTCTTCTTCCTCCCTTTCCCCTTCCCTCTATCATTTTCTTACTTTTGTAAATAAAGAAAAAGTAAATAAATGTTAAGACACTTTTTGAGGCCCATACCTACTGATGGTCATGAAGATGGAATAATGTTATGAGAATGGTTTTGTCATAACCTGCTTTAGCATTGCTAACCTGTTCTGTAAGCATCATTACCCTGACCTGTGTTTCAACTCAAGTTTCTTGTAAATTATCACTTTTCAGAACAGCAATTTGGTCCTGGAACCCACTGACCCTGGATTGTAAAACATTTTCTTACCACTGACTGTAAAATACTCAGTCCCGGGAACAACTGGCCCTGGTTGTAAAACATTTTTGCATAGATTAAATCCCTTTTTGTATAAGCTCGCTCCCCTTTTCATCTGCTTTAATGTGTTTACCTTTAACTCACCCCCAACAACTCGTAAACTAACCTGGTTATCAGTTCTTCAGATTCCAATGTAGGCTGTACCGCCGGGTACCAGCTAAAATAAAGCACTTCTTTTTAAAGAAATCTTGCCCCAGTTTTTTGAACAACATCTTGGGGCCTTGTTTTTGGGATACGACAGGTTTCTGTTTTTGTTTTTGACCATCAAACATCAAAATAAGAGCTGTACTTGCATATGTACACAGCACTGATTCTGGCAAACTGTTGGCACTTGGCCCCAGCAGATTTATCATCAGCAATGAACATTCACACATGCCAGAAGCCAAATCAGTAGCAACTGACCACATCTGTTTCTCCTTGTTATACTTTGAGTCAAGAATGATACCCCAGAGACTCCTGTTAAAGATAGAAGTTTTGCAGGGTGATTGAATCATGAGGCCACTGATTTGTTCTGTTAGGACTGGGGCCTGATCAGAGGAAGAAGGTCAAAGGGCCCTACCCAGAAGGGTGCACAGTGTTCCAGCCCCTTCTCTCTTCTCTTCTGCTCTCTGCTTCCTGGCCACCCTGAGGTGAGTGGCTTTGCCCCCACCCACACCTTCCACCATGATGTCTATGCCTTAGCGCCAACAGACCATGGACTGAACCCTCTGAAACTGTGAGCCAAAAGAAACCTTTTCTCTTCTAAGTTGTACATGTCAGTTACTTTATCCCACTAATGGAAAAGTGGCCAATATTCCACTGTTAAAATATATTTTCCCTCCAACCAAACCAGCAAAATACATAGCACTAGTTTAGTCATGGAGGGGCCTTAAGTTTCTTAAGGAAGGAAATTGAAAAGGACAGAGAGAACATTTTCTCTCTCCACAGTGAAATTAGCATATTGCTAATAGGCTCCTAGATCAAGAGAGAAAGTGGAATCAAATTCAGTTAGGAATAATGATGATTCCTTTCTAAGATCTCAGCCAGGCTGATTAAGTCACGTAAAATCCGTGTACCTCTGTTGCTCTCTTAAAAAACAAGCATCTAATTTAATAAAAGATTTTTACACACATTAAAAGTTATTTATATGCTTATTTTACACATGTCAATAAAGTATACCTGCAATATAAAAAATATCTAGCAATATTAATAGTTAAGTATTACATTTAAAATGAGAGTTCTCCTAGTCAGATTCCATTTTAATGTAAAGAATTCACTTGTTATCTTATTTTTCAATAATTCATTCTTGCTCTCAGCTATTATTTTTGGAGACAGTTGAGCTGAACCTTGTAAGCACTATGACTTGGTATTTTAAGGGACTTTGAAGAGGTCAAAGTAAAGAAATTCAATGCTTTTACTCGCTTACATGAAGCTAGGCAGTAAAGGAAAAACACACACTGATGTATCGAGAAATTCAAGAACTGGAGCTGAAACTGTGTACCAATGTAACTAACCAAAATCTGTCTGTCTGTTTGATTATACCAGGTTTTTTTCTATGAGGTAACCTTAAATCTTTTCAGAACACAGTGGAATTTATGAGATAGTAAGTCAGATGACTATGAATTCTGAAATATTTCTGCCACAGGAAATAGCCTCCAATTATGCCTGCTCTGCCTCCTACATCTTTCCATTCCTCTTCTATGAGCTTCCAAATGGAATTTGAACTTTCAAATCCATCACCCTTGTGAATAACTTCAAAATGTAGACCCCACAGCAACAGGTGGAAATCACAGCACCCAGAACTTGTATAATAAAGCTAATTCATATTAGTTAATGAAAACTACTGTACTAAAATTTTCAGGCCTAAGAACTCCCTGGGAGTTCATAAATCATTATTTACTAATTACTGGACACGGAAATTTTAGAATTGTGAATAAGTCATAAAGACCTCCTTTTACATCCTCCTACTTTTACCTGAGAAGTCTTAGCACAACCACAGCTTGTCTGGAAGCTCCTGACTCTGTCTCCCTTCAGCCTACCCCCAAGCCAAGCTGCCACCAGTTCCTCCAGAACCACTAGGAGGATGATGTCTTGAATTCCAGGGCCTCCTCTTTTGCTCTGGACCTGGAGTAAGCCTACATCGTGTCATTTGCCATCACTGGGGAATGCTCACCTTCAACAGCAGTGGGCATTATTTCCACTTCCTCCTTTCCCTGCAAGTCTTTAAACAAACAGAAGTCATTAAGAGCAATGTATGTTCCTGTTTATGCTCTCCTAGAAGCCTCTGCTAGGGCCCTGGGGTGAAGCAAGGCTCTCCACAGACAGCCACTGCCCTCCCTTACCTGCTATGCATCCATTCTAATTTAAATTACTTCCTACCTATTCATTTCCTTACCACATTGGGAAGGTGAGAAAATAAATCATCCTTATGCATAGCTGCTTTCCTTAAATAATGCAGAGATACATCCACAAGAGCCACTCTTTCCAGAGATCCATCATTGCAAGCGAAAAAAATTAAATTGCAACTCAGTTGTTTAACCTTCATAAGTGGAGTAACCTGCATCACTAACACTAAATGTTTTACTTAATTTGCCTGCACAGGTTGCTCACCAAGAAGCGTTTAACCTTAAAGTTAATGGTATCTGATCTATTCTAAGTGTAGGTGCCTCCGACTGCCTTCTACTGCACTGCACAAATTAACATTAAGTTCTCATTTTAGTGATATGCGTGGGCAGGAGGAGACATTATCCTGAATTGTCCCTGTGCAAGTAAGCTGTATCTGTCTACTTCGGGCACCACGGCATGGGCAGGACCTGTGGACAACAGGTAACCTCCAAAGTTGGAGACAAGGAGAAAGCACTCAGGCCCCAGTCCTTTGAGAGTTGGTACTTTTAGGATAAGCAGGGTGTTGCAATATTTTTAAAGGAAAAAATTAACAATGAAAGTGCTAGAAACATCCAGGAAGGACTATCTTCATCACAGACGGGAAACACTGTTCTATATTTAAAAATTACAAAGTGAGTGTATGGTACAGCATACACTGAGGGTATGCAAGGCCCTGGGCTCAATCCTGAGCACACATGCACACCCACGTGCTCACACATATGCACATGCTCAGATGCACACACACACACACACACACACACACACACACACACAACACACACACCTCAATTCCCCCCCACTCACCCGCACCAGGGATGGAACTCATGACCTTGTGCTTACCAGACAGGTTCTTATGCTGCTGAGCTAAATCCCTGGCCTATACCTCAATGTCATACAAATAAAACAGTGAGAGACAAGTGTTTAAAAGTGAACATATGTAACTAAATACGTAGCCCACAGTTCAGCCCAGCAAAGTTTACCAGACACAGGCAAAACATGGCAAACTAGGGTAGAAATGTCCATGTCCTAAAGGCTTATCTTCCATTTAGCACACAAAGAGTTCAACACACCAATTTCAAAAGTCTAATGACACATTCAGAAAATGGAAAAGAATATGTTATTTAGTTCTTTTCTGGTCCACACTGAAAAACTCAGTAATGGACCTCAGTAATGGACCTCATTGTGTACAACAATTCCAAGTACACACATACCAGGACAAGTCCAGTGATGCCAAAATTCCAGCAAAAATCCCTGCAGGGGAAACAAAGGACTGACATTTTCGTACAGTGCTTGTGAGCTCAAAAAGACAAAAATTGTCAGTATCTAGGCACACTGTAAATCCTATGTATTCAGAAATTCCATTTCTAGAAATGAGGCCTGTGGGTTTTACACATGTATATACCCTCTACATCTTAGAGAAATATATTACATTCTTATGAGAAAAGTAAGCAGACCCAAATATTCGCATATAGACTTGTTTAAAAATTAGATGAGAATACTGTTCAATCATTTTTAGAAATTTAAAAAAAAAGTTTTTTATACATTAAAATGAATTTGCTTTCAATATATACTGTGTGGTTAAAAACAACAAGATGTGGAGCCTTGTATGTACAAATAATATGCAAATATTTGGGAAAAATAATGAAAAAAGAATATAGCCCAATAAATATATCTAGTATTATAGAGTGAATTTCTTCTCCCTTGCAAAAAACTAAAATGCTAAAATCTACTCCTCAGGATGATGATGTTTGCACTTGGAACCTTTGAAATGTAATTAGGTCACAAGGGTGGAACTCCCGTGAGGAAGATTAGTGCCCCTGTTAGAAAGCGTCAGATTGTAGGCCTGGTGGCCTTCTCTCTTGTACACACACAGTAGGTTGGCAGTCTGCAACCCAAAAGAAGGCCCAGGCAAGAGCCCAGCCATGCTCACACGGTGATCTTGGGCCTCCAAACTCCAGCACTGTGAGAACTAAAAGTCTGTGCTAAATAATGATACATAATCTACCTAGCACATGGCATTCTGTTACACCAGCTTCCACTCACTAGGATATCCGAGAACAGTTAAAGAACATACACAAAACTAAAATTATTCATTTACTGCACTTAGGAGAACCTTGTGGCTGGGCTACAGAGGTGGGAGGCAGATCTGTGATGAACAGCCTTTATTTTGAGCCATATGATTGATCAGCTGTAAAGAACATAAATATTTTTAAATTAAAAGGAATCAAGTAAATAGAGTGAGTAAACAATGCATGAAAGTCTCTATGACTTTCACTTTCAAAGGAGGTTTCTAGATGCTTCCTCAGATCATTCCAAAACCAATGCCTTTTATTGTCTCTATCTTGGCTGCTTTTCTAGCTACTGAGACAAAATATCCAACCCTCAAAGTTAAAGGAGGAAAGATTTACTTTAGCTCTGTAGAGACTTAATTCCGCAGTCGTCTGGCTCTAAGGCAGTGTGGCATGGCAGGCAGGCGTCACAGAGGAGAAGCAGTTCATGGTGGGCGGAAGACAGCAAAAGCAATAGGAGGCCTTAACAGCATCATTATGCCCCTTTTTGCTTACCTAAATGACCAGGATTGGGGCAATGCTAAGCCAATAAATGAAGAGATTTAGTAATTACACATTCTTATTCCCAGCATTGTACCATGAATCAATCACATGCTGTAGATCCAGCTCTGAATAAGCCCCAGCTAAGACCACAAGAGGCTTTGGGTGACATCTTTGTGCAAGATATAAGACCTTCACAAAATGAAATATCTTCAGATGATTTCTCTAGAAAATACGAGTTAAGAACTTACAATTTATACTCATAATCTGTATGGAATTAGTCCAAGTCTGCTCAGTATCAAGTAATAGACCTTATCAGGATATAAAAAAGAGAAGTCAATGCAATTAGGGATGAAAAAATGAAATCACAATAAACATCACTGAAATCAATAAAATTAATAGCAAGTATTTCACAAACCTAAATGCTGAAAAACTGGAGAACTTGGAAGAAATGGAGAGATTACTAGATACATATGAATTGCCAAGAATGAATGAAGAGAATTCAAAAATCTTGAATAGCTCAATAGCAAGCAATGAAATTGAAGTAGTAATAAAAAACTCATCAACTGAGAAAAGCCTAGCACCTTTCAGATTCACAGATGAATTCTATTAGAATTTCAGGGAAGATCTAACAACATTATCCCTCAAATTGTTGAATGAAATCAAGAGGAAAGTAATACTCTCCAAATCATTCTTGTAGGTTAACATTGTATTGATCTTGAAACCAGACAAGGATTAGACTACAGAAGAGAACTAATACCAGTCTTTCTAAGCTATCCTATGCAAGGAAAGCAAAGTAGAGGCGTCTCAATCCCAGATTTGAAGCTATACTACAAAGTTAAATGATTAAAACAGCACGCTACTATCACAAACACAGACATGTAGATCAGTGGAACAGAACAGAGGAAGCAGAAATGACATACACTGGAGGAAAGATAGCCTCTCTAAACTGGTGCCAAGAAAATTGCACATCCACATGCAGAAGATTGAGCCTAGACCCATACAGGTCATCATGCATTAAACTAAAATCAAGATGCATCAAAAACCTAACTGTTGGCCAGAGACACATCTCAGCAGTACAACTGCCTGTCTGGTAAGCACAAAGTCCTGAGTTTGATTCCTGGTACACACACACACACAAAAAAAAAAAAAAAAAAAAAAAAAATTCCAACATTTAAAACAGAAACTTGTCACCTGCTGGAAGATAAAATCTGTAAAACTCTTATAAACACAAGTGTAAGCAACAATTTTCTGAACAGAACCCCAGTGGCAAGAACCAACAAATATGACCATATCAAACTAAAAAGCTTCTAAACATCAAAGAAAACCAATAAAATGAAGAGGAAACCTACAAAATTGGGGGAAATTTTGCCAGCTCTTCTTCAGATAGAGGACTAACATTTAGGAAAACAATTAGACTTCCCAAACAAAAGACTCAGTCAAAAAAAAAATGGGCAGTGAAGATGAATAAACACTGCTCACAGGATAAAGGGTCAATAAATATATGAAAAACTGTGCAGCATCGCTGGCTGTCAGAGAAACGCAGACTAAAACCACATTGATAGACCACCTTAACCAGAGAAAATGACTGTCATCAAATGAAAACCAAATAATGATGAACACTGATGAGGCTGTGAGGAGTAAGGAACTCTTCTGCATCATTTGTAGGGGTGCAGACTGGTGAACACATGATGGAAATCAGCATGAGGATTCCTCAAAGAACTATAACCTGGCTGTTATCACTCCAGAAGAGCTCAAGTCATCGTACTATAAGGTGGCACATCTACCCATATCTACAGCAGCACAATGCACTACACCTACATCTTGGAAGTGGCTTACAGTGTCCACCTACAGGAGAATGGAGAAGACCAAGGAAAGTGCAGTGCTGAGTTTACACACAGCAGAGCCCTGCCCTTCCGTAAAGGTAAACTTGGGGCATTCACAGACAAATGGAAGCAGTCTGAGAACACAGGTTAAGTGAAATAAGTCAACACCCAAACTTCAACATCACAAATTTTCTCTTACATGAAAAACTCAAGATACACACATACACAGAAGGGGGAGTGCAAGCGCAAAACAGAAGTTAGATAAACAGGAAGTAGTGAGAAGGACAGTGATGCCTCAAATTACCTATGTTCCATTGTTCCAAAACATTTTAACATGTATGTTAATGGGCTTCATTTATATTACCAACTTCTCTCAGTTCATTGAAGAGAAAGTTATGTGCTTTCATCTTATGGCTTCTTTTAAGTCTTTTCTTTATTGACTTGTACTCAGAGTAATAGTTTGGTGATTCTTTTAAGATTATGATACAGTGGCCAGGTGTGGTGCACATGTCTATAATCCCAGCACTGGGGAGGCTGAGGCAGGGTTAGGGTTTGGGTTCAGGTAGGCGTTAGGGTTAGACACTATTCTGAGCCACTTAGAGTTCAAATCCAACGTGGACTACATAACAAGACCCTGTCTAAAAAAAACAAAAAGATTATGATAGTGTGTTAACTACTCTCAGTCTCTAATAATTTTCTCATGAAACTTTTTTTTAACTTTTTCATGGAAGGTACTGTTTTTTATCAATATCTTTTGCATTATACTAAAATAAAAAGGGTGTAATTTCTGAATTTATGAAATAGAAATGTCTTGTCTAACATATGGATTTACATTAGCATAGAACGTATTAACTGAGACTTTGTAGAAAACTGGAGATATAAGGTTTTTTAAAGCTGATATGTTAGAAACTCATCACTGTGATAAATACTTGAGATGATCAATTTGCAGAGAAGGGAACTGGGTGTAGCAGCTCACTTCTAGTACTAGGGCAACTGATACAGGGCGATCTCAGGTTTGAGCCCAGCCAGGCCAATTTAGTGACTTAGCAAGAGTGAAAGTGGGCCTGTGGGATGGGGGCATAGCTCAGGGTTAAGACCCTGGCCCCTCCCTACGCACCACATGAAGAAAGGAGAAGAGGTTCCTCTGGGCTCATGCTTTTGAGGTGCACTACATCTGACTCATTGCTCTTAGGACCCTGGGGCAGGAAGGGCAGCACGGCACCCCCTACAACAGGGAGCAGAGCAGAGAAGGACCAGCCATGGCCCTGCCTCACCCTCCAGGTGCCCCGAGACCTGGCGAGGATCTTCACCTCCTTAAGTTTCAGGATCTCCCAGCTGACCACTCAACCTGCAAGCCTTCCGCACCCAGCCCTGGAAAACATTTAAAATCCAGACTGCAGCATCACATTTAAAGAGAAAAAATAACAATAACAAAATAGTTTCAAAACAGGTTCCTGGGAGAGTTTTGATAAATTGCTCTCTTCCTAGGAGGTATTCAGAGTAGAGGATACAAGCATGATATTTTGTCTAGACAATATTAACACAAACCTTTCTCTTCAATGAACTAAGAGAAACTATCTGTATAACTATCTTGTGTGTGTATATGTATGTAATATATATATATATATATATATATATATATATATATGACCTAGTGTGACATCCATTTACATATAAAAGTCTCAAGTTTATACTTTTTTATGGATCAGCATTACTCCAAACCAAAACATAATTTTTTATCTATTCCTCAGTTGATGGGCAGTTGGGTTATTTCCAAGATCAGGCTATTACAAATTGTGCTGCTATGAACATGGATGCACATATAGTGTTGTGGTGTGATGTTTTTAATTCTTCTGTTAAGATACCCAGAAAGAGAATAGCTGGGTTGAATGTGATCTCCAATCCTAGTTTTCTGAGTACTCTCCACAGTGGTTATACCAGTCTACAATGTCACCAACAGCGGAGAAAGGCTCTTTTACCCCACGGTATCTCTAACATTTGTTATTGGCTGATTTCTTGATGAAAGCCATTCTTTCTGGAGTAAGATGGAATCTCAGTGTTGTTTTAATTTGCATTTCTCTAATGATCAATAGTGTTCAACATTTTTTCATATATTCACTTGATATTTGTATTTCTTCATCTGAGAAGCATGAATCCATCTAAGACGCTCAGCTTTGGACTGGTTCTTTGAATCTGAGGTATCTGATTTTTTTTTTCAGTTCTTTATAACTTCTAGATATAAAGTCCTTTGCCTGAGGGACAACTGGCTATAATCTTCTCCCATTCTGTGGGTTGTCTTTTCATCCTGCTGATGATTACTTTTGTTGTACAAAAGCTTTTTAATAAGGTGAGATCCCACTTGTACATTGTTTGTAGTATTTTCCTTGTAGTCAGACTCTTGTTCATGTCCTCTGCCTACACCTATGTCTTCAAGATTATGTTGTATATTTTATAAGAATTTAAAAATGCTTGGGACTTTTCTAACTTTTTTATGCTTGAATTTCATGAAAATTTTTTGTATACATTCTTGTTATTGTGGGTGTGCAGTCCTAATAGAATAAGGGAGCAATCAGTCTTGCTCAAGGATAGGACCCAGGAAAAGGCTGGGCGGAGAGGCCAAACCTGTGCAGGCTGGGCAGATGATTGACTGTTTCAGTCTGTGCAGGGCCAAGCAGGGAGGCTGTCGAGGGGCTGAGAAGTAGAATGTCAGGTGAAGACGGCCACCCAGTCAAACTGCCTGGCCACTCCCTGAACATGAAGTTATTCCACGACAACAGGATTGGGAGGAATACTTCATCATCACTGGAAATAGATGGGTTTAAAAACCCCTGGAAAGTCACCCAGGAACAGCCAGGAGCACACTCAGTAAGACACAGCATGTTTAGCCCCATGAGAGATGATCCTGATTACAATGAGAGCACAGCCAGATAATAATTCCATGCATTTACATTTTTGTGGTCCCCAAAAAATTCTCCCTCTGGCAGGAGATCTTTTCCCTTGTAAATTCGAGCTGAGCACAGCATATCCCTCTGCACTCTCTTTTCCTCCCAGGTGGTGGTTCAACACTGCTTTCTTGTCATCAGCATCACCTTCAACAAAACATTTTCTTCTCTTGTCCAGTTACACACCACATAAAGATGCCTGTCCTTGGTGTTTCTTAGTTCAACACCATGCGTGACACGATTGGCTGTAAATCATGGACGTTGTCCATAGATTTGGGAGACTTACAGTTGATATTTGCTCTGCTCTGCTTCTTCTTATGTCAGGTGTCCAGTGGGGACAGCTGAGGAGCTCCTCCTCCTGAGACCCTGCCCATCCGCCTGGGTTTACAGCACCATTTTCTCCAGGAATTTTAGTCTTCTCTTGGCTTAGCATTGAATGAGAAGAGATTGTCATAAACTTGTGCAGCTGTCCTCAGGCAGCCTGGAAGGACAGGTCCTCCCTTTCTGGAAAGCATGGTGGCCCAGGCTCCTGGAGACCCAGTGCTGCACACAGCCAGCTGTGCTGTGCCAGCGACCCAGGCCAGTGCAGCAGGACAAGAGCAACCTTGGGTGGGTGGAAGGACAGTGCTCTCCTGCCTGGTGTGGAGACTCGTGGGGTGACTCCAGGCTCCAAGCTCTGCCTCTGTGTGTGCTGCATCATGTCCTCTGCAGCACTGCCATGGGTGCCAACTTGGAAGAAAAAATAAACAAAGAATGCGTCATGTTGTGCCTCTACACATGTTTTGTTTTGGTGCATACTATCCCAGCCTCCTGGGAGGTCCCTGGCTTCTCATTCGGACCCCACTTGCCTTGGTCTTTGGTCTCCTTTTCAGGGAATCTAAATGCTTGGCTCACAGCACACACTTGTAAATTTCCGTGGGAACCAGGACTCACCTTGAAATATAAGACAACATTCCTGCCAGAGCGCTGGACCCCTCGGGGCTGCAATGGTCACTGTGCTGGCCTCACCATCAGGCTGCAGTGGGTGAATTTCGGGACTCCCTGGGGTTCACTGAAAATGTGAGCATCTGGAAGAGGAAAGGCCCTCTCCACAGTGTCTGCCACCTTGTTTACTTCCTCTTTGATTTGTGTGCTTCTGTGTTACTTTCTCTAAGGCAAGAGAGAGGTCATCCCAATTCAGACTCCAGAAAGTGTATTTTGCGTATCCTAAAATCTAAACTCTAAGTTTTTTTTTTAAATCTAAGATAAAAAACATTTATTAGAGGCAATAATATGTCAACAACCCCAGATAACCTCAATTGTAAGTGCTTTTATACTTTATTAATGAATTCCAAACTCATCAAGAATCAATGACTTAACTAATTTCTCTTAATGCCAGTTGCTACCTTGGGAATATTAGTGTTATTGATTTCAGAGAGAATATCCAAGACCACTGGGTGAGGGGTTGAGGGCCATCCCAGGATGCTCTGCTGCCCCACAGGCAGGTGGCGGCTCCACAGCCTGCTAATCAGCAGAGTGCAGCAGTCAGAAAGCAGAGGTGCTGTAAATGGGAGCTACATGCCAGATTCCAGAGGCTGACTATGGAAAGTAGAATGTAAATTATCTCATCAACAGTTTCTACATAAATTATGTGTTGATATGATAGATTTTGGCTATTTTGAGCTTACAGAAATGTACTATTAAATTAATTTCACTTGTTCTATACTAATATGATTACATGAAAATAACAAATTACATACTTGGTGTGCATTATGTTTCTGCTAGGAAGCGCTGAGAAAGACATTTCAGGGGTGCCATGGCAAGATTAGAACCTGCATTCTCTGTGCTGTGTTACCATGACTAACACAGGTTCTAAATACCCTGGTCCCCAGCATAAAACAGATGCTCAATGAATGCTCAGCAAATAAACAGTTCCTCAGCTATCCAGCACATTTTCCCCAAGGAAATAAAATTATTCCATGAGTACAGAGGAGCAACCTGAATGCTTGAAGCTCACGTGAATGAGGCCAAGTGGGAAGAAAAGAAATTATGTTTAGAATAAGAATTATTGGTTTGAAGTTGCAACATCAAAGCAAAAAATATATGTATAAGGTGTAATGTATATTATAATATATAAATAGTTTATAAGGAAGGCAGCAACATAATTAAAGATCAACATAACTTATTAAATTTGGAGCATTTATGATGATAGCAATTTATCCAAGGTCATAATTTAAATAAGTTAAGCAAAATATGGTTTACATGTTGATGAATCGTTTGCATCATATGGAAAGGAAAACAGGTTAAAGATGACATAATGATGATTAGTGATATCATAAAAAACAGCTATGGATATTAGCTAGGCAAAGCTTTGTTGGAACTCTTAACTAGACTAAGATACCCATGAGTCTTACCAGATAGGGGAAACACTTTGAAAGTGGTATTTGTCAAGTAGGAAGAATTCTAAATGCTGGAAAACAAATTAAGCAATTTGGAAAATCTGCAAAAATCTAGTAAGGGAGGAATTTCTGATAAGTCTTCATTGTGAAATATGTAATACTTAATATATGCCAGGCACAGCCCCACCCAACTTATATAAATTAACAAAGTCCACCCAAGAGCTCCTGGATGTAAGGGCAGTTGGTTTGTCTATCTTACATATAACAAAAGGGAAACTAGAGACCAACACATATTCCTGTGGTTACTTAGCTGGCAAGTGGCACAGCCCAAACTGAAACTTAGTCCATCCTACTTAATCACTCCACAGTGAGTATTTGAGAAGCTGTCATGTAATTTACATAATTTACCCATTAATTTTATGTAATCCTGAAACTTGTATGATTGTTACCAAGGTAATCAGTTAGATCAGAGCTCAGAGAGGTTATCTTGCTAATCTAAAATGACACCAAGACTTGAATCCAGATCCCTCTGACCCCAACTTCCTTCCATGACTCTGTTTAATGTGCTAAACTAAACAGTGTCTGCGAGTGACTCTGAACAAACCTCTCATCAGCAAATGCCTCCACCAGCCTGGTGAA